AAATTCTCCAACAAGGCCTGAGGCTGCACTCACTCATGAAATGGAAAAATTCATGTTGACAGTGCTCCTAAATAGATTCCGAAAAACTTAAGGATCATGCTTTCTTTCTGGGGAAGGATCAGAGATGGAGTCTCCATGGAGTCTTTCTATGGGAAGTTGGTTTTGTCAGAGAGGTAAGAATCCTTGAGACAATTAAGATTATAAATCCCCATATAAAACTAGGGCACATAAACTGTGTCCATTTTCCACAGAGTAAAGAGATGTGGCAAATCAGGGCAAAAGCAATCCCCTAAGGAAACAAAGAGAAGGGCACTTAAAAAAATCTTCTCTATAGCAGATTCTTCCCACAGAGAATACTCAGAACAACCTGGGTCTAAATTTTGAAGCTGAAGGATAGACTCATACCTTGAAAAATCATTTAAAAATAGCTACTGTTTACTAAACCCTTACTGTTCTTCAGATTCTGCAATGTATGTGCATTATCTCATCTAATTTTTGCAAGAACCCTATAAGGCACACACCACTATTCTCCCCATTTTATAGAGAAAGAAACTGAGAATCAGGAAAGTTAAGTAATGTTCCCAGGAACATACAATTACTGAGTGGCAGAGGTAGAATTCAGAAAGGGTCACTGACTCCCAAGCTTGAGTTCTTAACAATTATCTCTCGGGCATGGGAAAAGGCCCCCTTCTTCTCACAAGAACCATAAACAGATGGCTTCCGTGCATGGATTCTCAGCCTGTAATGATATAAGACAACCTCAGGAATATTGACCTTAGACCAGTTCTTAAACTTTAGAGTAGATTGGTATCACATGGAAGGCTTTTTAAAACATAGACTGCTGGGTCCTATTCCCGAGAATGCCTTTCTTTCTTTTTTTCTTTTTCTTTTCTTTTCTTTTTTTTTTTTTGAGATAGAGTCTCACTCTGTCACCCAGGCTAGAGTGCAGTGGTACAATCTCAGCTCACTGCAACCTCCACCTCCAGGTTTCAAGCAATTCTCCTGCCTCAGCCTCCCGAGTAGCTGGGATTACAAGCGCCCGCCACCATGCCCAGCTGATTTTTGTAATTTTAGTAGAGATGGGGTTTCGCCATGTTGGCCAGGCTGGTCTTGAACTCCTGACCTCAAGTGATCTGCCCGCCTTGGCCTCCCAAAGTGCTGGGATTACAGGCATGAGCACCACACCCAGCCTCCATCCTGAGAATTTCTGATTCATTAGTCTAGGATAGAGCCTAAGAATCTGCATTTCTAACAAGTTTCCGAGTATTGTTGGTGTTGCTGCTCCTTTGAGAACCATTGTCTAAACCAAGGTTCTCCAACTAAGCCTCATTGCCTTAGTGGTTTGCCCTACCTAACTAATCTTTCGCTGTTTAGTCCCAGATCCCCTGGGGTCTTGAGAAACTATAAGGTTATCTTCTGCAGTGCTGTGTGTTTTGAAATTTTCTGAACTATTTGTTCAGAAAATTTCAAAACTTCTCAAAATTTTGAAAATTTCAAAATTTCCCACTCTAAAACTAATGTACTGTTGCCTTAGGTAAGGCCTGAGAACCCCTGAAATGTAGAAAGAGGAGCTGGAAGAACCAATGACAGATAACAAAGCAGCCTGGCCTACTGAAGCCAGACCAGTTCCCTCACAGACAATGGCAGTCCTTTTATAACCTCTGGGATTGCCTCTAGGAACTGATCACAAGAGGGCATTCATTAAAACCACTTCAGGGCATTCGTATTCCTGAAGTTAAAAAGAGCTGTAACAAGAGCGACTGGCCCTTTAATGTCCCTCCCCACCCCCAAACACATTCTTCCATCTGAAGAAGAGGCTGCAACCGTATTCCCTGCATTCCCAATTTAGCTAATTTTCTCTCTCTGCTCAGTCTCAAGGGAAGCTGAAAGGAAATAAGAAAGCCTGTGGTCCGGGTCTGCTCACACAGTGGGGAGGCTAGAGAAAGGGGCCAGTAATCAGGATTAACCAATTTAATGCCTGACTTGTTTATCCCACAGAAAACATCATTTGGTGATGCCCTTGTTGATCCCTTCAGAGTGTGGCATCTTTATCTTAGGCTTTTGCAGACTGTGAAAATAAATGAACAGTTTCTCAACAAAGCAAAAGAATTCATCAGTGAGGCTAGGCACAGGGGCTCACGCCTGTAATCCCAGCACTTTGGGAGGCCAAGGTGAGTGGATCACGAGGTCGGGAGATTGAGACTATCCTGGCTAACACGGTGAAACCTGTCTCTACTAAAAACACAAAAAATTAGCCAGGTTTGGTGGCACACGCCTGTAGTCCCAGCTACTCAGGAGGCTGAGGCAGGAGAATCCCTCAAACCCAGGAGGTGGTGGTTGCAGTGAGCCGATATCACGCCACTGCACTCCAGCCTGGGGGGAAAAGGGAGACTCTTTCTAAAAAAAAAAAAAAAAAAAAAAAAAAAATTAGACATTTATTAACTATATGTCAAGCACTATGCTCAGTTCTTTTTTCTCCTTTAGTTCTCATGGTAACTCAATAAAACAGGTGTTATTACTATTGCTACACCCAATTTACAGAAAGGGTAATTAAGAAAATATGAATTCAGGCAGTTTGTCTATGCTCACTCAGCAAGTAAGCTTGGGATTAGAATTCAACTCAAATCTGACTCGAAATCATAATCTTAATCTTTATGCCATATTCCCTCCAAGCAGTGCAGAACATGTATTGAGTCTTAAAAGCCTAAAAGTACCAGAAAGACGGGGAGAAAGTAGAGAATCCCTTTAACTTTACATCATTGATGCAGAGGTAGGTATTGAAAAGTATGATTAGGTTGCCACGGAGTAGCTGGAAGATGTAAGCCCTATCCAGCATAGTCCATGAAGACTGTGACTCATGTGTCAGCAGCCAGGCACAGTTCTGGATAAAATGGGTTATACAAGAGGGGCTGGGACAGTAAAAAAGGGAACAAGGAGATCCCCTCCTCTATCTCTGTAAAAAAGATAGGTTCTTAACATTTTTTGAATCTGAAAGAGGGACCTGGCCAGATGTATGAAATATCAATACATGGTTCCTGTTCCACATTTGCCTAGGAATACACATCAACCAGCATCACCACTGGGAGGGAGAATGTATTCAAAGTTAGTTTTTGGCTCACCAGGTCGACCTACAATGCCTCCATAAGAGCAAGAAAAACTGAAACAAAGGCAGGGTAGAAAGTCATGATTTCACGTGGCTTCTTTGGGAAATTCTCACCTTCCCAGATGCCTCCACATCCTGCAACACTTGGCAATCTAAAACCACTTCCTCCTCCATCATGTCTTCACTCCGTCATTGGCATTGAGGGTACAGATTTGTCAATGAACTATTTCATGTTCTTTCCCTTGCAATCTGTCAATATTAGCTCTCTAATGAATTGCTTCAACTTGTATATTTTTTGGACAAATGTGACTTTTAGTTGAATTGTGCAACATCCATAAATAGCAAATCCTGGCTGATTAGAATCAATGAACGCCCTTAGAGTTGCCAGCAAAAAATGGGCCCTTAGCTGCATGTTACTTAATAATTTGAAAGGCATCTGATTATTTTTGGGAAAAACCTTTTACACAAACATTCTATGTCATCTGTTATGTATGTAGATATGTATTTGAATTTGAATGGATTCTTGCAAGCCAGCCATGTTATGAATATAAGTGCCAGATATACTTGGATTTGAAACTAAACACATTTGGGTTTGAATCCTACCCTCTGCCACTTACAAGCTATGTGAACTTGGGTACATTGTTTAATCTCTCTGTCTCTGCAGTTTCTCGTATGTAGAATAGATATAATAAATCCCTTGCAAGCTTGACTTAAAGAATAAATGAGACCACACATACAATGTACTTGGCACAGTATCAAGGCATATTATGGCTTAATAATTAGTAACTACTATTATCATCATGATGTTTCTATTAATAGAAGATTAGAGTAGACATATTTTGTGTCTCTACCAACACTTAATCTTCTCTTTCTGAAAACTGCCACAGCTATGGGCCTCCAAAGCCATATTTCTATTACATGACCCTGCTTTAGTGATAGGGCAAGAATAAGGATACCAAGGAAATGTAAGTTTAAGCAATTTTCTTATACTCACCCAGTCATTAGGTTTTTTACACAACTTGGCAGGTTCTCTTTCCTGAAAGTTTGGATTAGGAAAGGGTCCCTATTATTCCTCTAAACTAAGAAATTGTGAGACGATCATGTTTGGCAACATGCATGCCAAGGCACTAAAAGTCAGTCTGCAGAATGTTGTTGATGTGCAGAGAGAAGCAGATTAACTTTGACTTGAACTCAAAACAATGCCTTGGTTCTGATAACTTTCCACTTCCATGAGAAACCATCTTCCTTCCTTCCTTCCTTCCTTCCTTCCTTCCTTCCTTCCTTCCTTTTCGGCCCCATTTACAGCCAGCCCCATTACATTACATTCGGCCCTTCAACCATCCTTCCTTCTTCGCTTTAGCTAACAACCACTACTTTTTCTCTTCTTTCGCCTACTTTTGGGTGGCTTCCATAGTCTTCCTTCCTTCCTTCCTTCCTTCCTTCCTTCCTTCCTTCCTTCCTTCCTTCCTTCCTTCCTTCCTTCTCTTTCTTTCCTACTTTTTCTCCTTCTTTCCTTACTACTTTGGGTGGCTTTCCATAGTCTTCAACCAAAAGATCTTTGTTAACAGTGTCATCTCTGTGCATAAGGCCACCAGATCTTCTCAGCATGTCTTGGATGGCCTAAGCATTTGAAAGGTACCTGATTTAAACAAACAAACAAATCCCAAAAACTTCATACACACACACACACGTGCACACTTTTCTTATGTCATCCTTTTTCAACTCCTGAAGAGCATTAGGTATAAAATCAAAATAATCATATATGTATGTATGGAAAAAAGGGAAGAACAAAAAGATAAAAGAAAAAGAGCCTTCAACATTCCTGATTTTACAAAAATAGGTCATCTGATCACTTTCTAGAACCCAAGAAAGAATGGAGAGACCCCCAGCTCTTTACCTGGTGTTGCACTGGATACTGTTGGCCACTGCTGATCAGGCCCTCCTGGACCAGCCCGTAGAACGCCAGCCTCCTCTAGGTGCACAGAGCTGAATAAACACACAGACCCAGATAACAGTTAGATCATAAATGCTTTCCCAGCTCTTCTTCCACCCTCAGAAATTGCTTACATCTATGAAGACAGGCCTGCAGCTAACACATTCTGCTCATGCTTGAACTGAAGCAATTATTGCTGAGCAGTCACCCTGCATAAACTGCAGAAGCATTGCTGACTTACTGCCTGCTATACTATTCCAGGAATACACATGTTCTATCTTTATGGCAATTTTGTTTCTTATTAACGCCATGTGGTGCTCACTAAATCTAACAGGAAGCCCATCAGAGGACTAAGCCATTTTAACATCTCGATGCTGAAGCAGATGAGGAGGGCTTGTTCTCAAAAGCTCCAAGACTCTCTTGTAGGTTCTCTTGTTCTCGGGTTCTCTATTCTAAAGAAGAAAACACACTAAAATTATTTTCTGATAATTGGAGTATTGTTCCAATTTGGCTATCCAATTAATTCTTAACCTTGTTTTCTATTTTACTCTTTCTATATCTTTTAGGCATAGATGACCCACCCTGTATTTCCTGAGACTAGAGAAACCTGATCACCACCACTCACAGATCTCAGTTCAGAAGAGACTAATTCAGCATAAAACATTGCTGGGAGTGAGACACAAACTGGGAGACCTTTAGAGGCAAGCAGAGATAGAACATAAACTGTTCAAGAGAAAAGAGAACAAGGTGCAGCATTCATTTATGTATGTCTAATACTAACACATATTAATCTCAAATATTTGTTGGATGGATGGATGAATGAATGAATGAATGAATGAATGAATGAATGAATGAAAGATGGAAGGAAGAAATAAGTGGGATCCTAAGAGAAAATGTCCAAGAAAACCCTCATCAAAATTAGAGGACCCTTTAATTTAATTTAATTTAATTTAATTTAATTTAATTTAATTTAATTTTGAGACAAAGCCTCACTCTGTCACTCAGGCTGGAGTACAGTGGCGGGATCTCAGCTCACTGCAACCTTGGCCTCCCAGGTTCAAGCAATTCTCCTGCCTCAGCCTCCCAAGTAGCTGGAACTACAGGCACTCGCCACCATGCCTGGCTCATTTTTGTATTTTTAGTAGAGACGGGGTTTCACTATATTGACCAGTGATTATTTGTTTCTTGGTCCTTCCCATTTGGTTTCCAAAGACATTTGCAAATAATGAATCTTTTATTTGGCCCCATGGCATGGATACTAGATCACCTCCAGAAATAATGGTAGTTAATCAATTACTGTCAGAGAGACAAAGTAGAGAAAGCAAAATTATATTTAATCTGAGTCTTAGACTAATGCTGTTACTCTAGGTTAATTTAAAGTAAGCTAGGTTTGGTCTCCAGATATCCAATAAAAGCCCTTTACATGGCTCATCCTCTGAGGAACCCATGTCATTGATGACAATAAGATAGCAACAGATGGGAAAGATGAGGACACTCTAATAGGCATGAACATGAACAACAAGAGCAATCAGTTATTGAGAGTAATAGGATGTAATAGTCAATATGAGATTAAAAAAAAACAAGGTAGACAACATGTATGTAAATACATTGTACAACGTACCCAAGTCTCAAAGCATGAGTATTAATTATTGTTTTTAAAGGAGGAAAAGAAAGCATAGGTAGACAGGGATGAAGGAGGTTGAAATTACTTCCCTGTAGAAATTTTGATGGGAGAAAATACACAGCGGCCTGTTTCTGTGATTTTACAGAGGACTCTATATTCCAGCACTTGATAAGCATTTGGCACTGACCATTTGCAATCTTTCAAGGAATAGACACAGGAACAAAAAAAATGCATTTTCCTGGCAAAGTACCTGAAGCTTTTTAGTTTTGACAGCTGCTTCTGGTCTATGGAGACGCAGTTTATCTGAGCCATACCAAGTTAAGGTTACTTCTGAGTGAACGAGGAGGGAAATACATACCTGTGCATGCCTGCTCTCAGGGAGGCAGAGTAACGCCAGTCAGGGTTGGGCTGTCGTGGCTGCAAAATCACAAAGAGAGTTTTCTGTTAAAATGACAAGACAATGTTCTCCCGGGGATGCTGTTAATTGATTAGCTACTCCTTACATATTTCCAGGCATCTAAAAAAAGTACTGAATGAGCCATTTCACGTGTAACTCTATGATAATATCTATATACATAGCACTTTAGAAGAAAATTAGTTCATCAGAGTCCTCACACAGATTAGATACCCTGGAAGACCAGATTTAATAATCTTGTAAAGGCCAGCTTTGGCTTTGCCTTGCCCAATATACATCTGTGTTCTTAAAACACTATGGGAAGAACAGTCTGTTTTGAGAAAGGAAAAGCTTTCATTGCTTTTGCCCTCAAGTGCCCCATTCCCAATTCAGTATCACAGCTATAACAAGGCACATGGCTACACAAGTTCTGCTGGCCTGGCTGGACTGCAGAGGACTGCAATCTGCTGCTGGCTTTGCAGACTGCAGCATATTTGACCCAGGGCGGATGTGCCCAGTCATAACCCCAGCAACTGATAACAGCCTCTTTGCTGATTGAAGAAGGATAGCAGGGAGAGGAAAACAAACTACTGCAGAGTTTGACCTTGTTTTGCTACCTAATCCTTTTCACAAACTTGTACTTGTTCCTGCTCCTTCCTGAGTGCTTTCCCTCCTCACTGAATCACTGCTCACTAAGCTCTGATTCTTTAACAGGGAGTAGCTGAAATCCAAGAAAAACCTGCTATATTTTGCAACAGTTGTGTATTGGAAAGATCTGTTGCCCTCTCTCTACAAACTGTCAGTCTGAAGGGGGAGAACAAAGAGGAAACTATGGGCACCCAAAGACTTAAAGACCGTTGGGGGAGTTACGCGCTGGTTAGAAGCTACTCAGAAATCACTGAGACATCATCAGTCATCATCACTGTCTTGTATCAGTAAGCAAAAATGTCACTGTGAAAAACTTGTGACACTCCTCCAGATGTGTTTTCATGGATGGAGATTAAGGTGGCCCTGTCACTGAATATTGAGGCATAGCTGAATGAAAAAATGGGGGATAAAAGTTGTATTTTGTATTTTCCTCTACATTATACTTACCATATTTGGTAGAAACAAAGCCATAGTAACATCAATAGACCATTCCAACCTGCCAATAATTCTTACTCCTATCATTCATATAGTTCCTTCAAGGGATGCAAAGTATTTAATAAACACATTTCTTCATAACAACCAGGAGAGAAATGATCACCATCTCAATTTTCAGACAGATTTGTGAATGGCTACATGATATTCGGTATTCAGAGAATTAGCCAAAGTCAAGGCCCAGAAAAAGTTACAACTCTGGGACAATTTACCTCAATGGTCCTCACACACTTACTGCTCTCTCTATTCTACCAACCTGCTAGCAAGATATGCATATGCAAGCTGCTTCCTCCTTTGTTTTTGAGTTCACAAAATGCTATGGATATTCCATATAACACAGCATAAAATTATCTACAGACCAAAGGAGTTTCCATTATCTACTAGCAGTGTTAGAGGGAACAAGAGAAAATGTTTGCAAATCATTTTATAAACCTGGAAATATGACTGAAATACTTTTTATCAATCAATCATCATCACCATCTCTCCCCTCGCCATCAGGAGCACTATCGTTAGCTTGTCAGCTGAGAGAACCTTTCTTCAAGAAAGACTGTAACATCTGCTGAGAAATGTTGCCAATTTTTCCATGATTGGGTAACATTCATGATGAAAATTGCTGCAACTTGATCTTTGGAATGAAATCATCAAACTCATTTTGCTGAAAGGCACAGTTCTAGCAGGACTGACCAGGAAACTCAGTTCATTATACAATCTCACTTCCCCAATGACACATTTAATTTGTCATGCTGCTATTTTCTATACTAGTCCATGAGCAACAATATCCTTCTCAGATTCATTTGCCAAAATCATAGTAAGATTTCTTATGGCAGTAAGATCAGGCAGGGAAAAGGAAAGGAAGAAAGCATATAATATGTTTTAAGTAGCTACACAGTACTAGATTTTGCACTTTATTACATACTGTTGCATGTATCCTAATTCTTTCTTTGTCAGTAAACTCTGTGAAAGGGATTATATCTGTTTTACTCATTAGACACATGCATATCTTCAGATATTCAAAAAAGCATAGCTTTTATATAGTCAGAGTCTAGCAGGCTTCTGGCATTTGGGAGGTTTTAAAAATGTGTTTAAATAAATGAACTATAATGCATAAGTCAACATTATTGTACTTAAATTGCAAAAATGAGACATCTGAACTTTAGAGAGATTAAATTACTGGCCTCATTGCTGAGTTCAGGTGACAGTCATGTTTAGGTCCCCTTAACACAAAAGTCTGTGTTTTACTTCATTTATTTATTTATTCATTTATTTATTTATTTTTGAGACAGGGTCATACTCTGCCATTTAGGCTGGTATGCAGTGGTGCGATCTCGGCTCCCTGCAACCTCTGCCTCCAGGTTCAAGCAATTCTTCTTCCTCAGTCTCCCTAGAAGCTGAGATTACAGGCACCTACCACCGTACCTGGCTAAATTTTGAATTTTTAGTAGAGATGGGGTTTCACCATGTTGGCCAGGCTGGTCTTGAACAGCTGACCTCAGGCAATCCACCCTCCTCGGCCTCCCAAAGTTCTGGGATTACAGGCTTGAGCCACTGTGCCCAGCCAAAAGTCTGTGTTTTAAATAAATTTACATGAAATGACATATATTTTTCTTCTTTCTCTTTTTTACTTCTGAGTTTCCAGGATACTGATTTAAAACAACACAAAACTAAAAGTAAAAAAAATGTACATGAGTTTCATCCAGAACTTGATTACACTTGGAAAAATTCAAGTTGAAAGGTTGACTACTGATATATCTGACACAGTAAGACATATATTACTATCACAATTTCAATCATAGTTGAAATAACTGTGATTGTTTAGTTCTTTAATACTTAGATGGTACCTCCCAGGACTATGCTTACTTTCTATTGGTAAAGAATTCCAATATGTCCTATTGCTTCAAAGGTTAGTCTTTTGGTAGAATAATGGTCACAAAACTCCATATGTAGAAAAATTCAATTAGGTAGTCCATATGGGTGATGTAGTATTACTGAAGAATAAGAATACACTTCAGTTCCTATTAAAATTATAAAAAAGATTTAATTTATCTTTTAATGATATTATTTGTGATTTATAACATAGGATATTTGAGCTACAGAAGGATGAATCGCCTCTTCTAAGATTTAAAGTAAAATAAGTTTAAAATACTCTATTTTATTAATAAACTCACACAACTACTCAATGAAATAATATGCTATCTTCGTGCCATGGAAATCCATGTGGAAGACATCAATAAATTGCCCTCTGGGACATAAGACTGCATATAATATCTCCTTTCCTTCCTAATAGAACTCTATTAAGAATACATCCACTGCAGATTTTTCATAGTGCTATTTTGTGAACATTGATATAAACTGATAGGCAGAATTCCAAGATGGCCCCAAGATCCCTATATTCTGGTGTGTACACCCTGAATAATCTCCAAGACTGTGATTGTGATGGATCTTATTCCCATGATTACATTATGTTATGTAGCACAGTTGGCTTTAAGAAAGGCAGATCATCCGGATGGGACTGACATAATCACATGAGCTCTTTAAATCTGGGTCTAGAGGTCAGAGACAGAAATCAGAGAGATCTGAAGCATAAGAGGGATTCCATGTGAGGGAAGATTCTCCAGTGCCAGCCCTAAAGATGGAGCAGACCATGGGACAGGAGTCCTGAGTCCTCAGTTCTCTAGGAACTGAGAGTGATCCCAGGCCAATAGTAAGTAGGAAAACAGAGATCTCAGTCCCCAAGCAACTGGATTCTGCAATCTGAATGAGCTCGATAGTGGATTCTTACTAAGAGCCTGCAAAAGAGAACACAGCCCAGCTGTGTTCATTTCAGCCTTGAGAATACCTGAGCAGACAACTCAGCCACATGGTACAGGACTGTGACATAACAAATAGATGGTGTTTTAAAACAATTACTTGTGGTAATTGCTTTTGTTACAAAGCACCAGAAAAGGGATACATAGACTGTTGCTCATTAAGGCAAAAGGGAATATAACATTCAAAATAATCATCATGTTGCATATTGGTCTTCTAGTATATCAAAATGAGGGCTGGGTACAGTGGCTCACACCTGTAATCCCAGCACTTTGGGAAGCCAAGGCGGAGAGATCACTTGAGGTCAGGAGTTCGAGACCAGCCTGACCAACATGGTGAAACCCAAAAATACAAAATTAGCCAGGCATGGTGGCGCATGCCTGTAATCTCAGCTACTTGGGAGGTTGAGGCAGGAGAATCGCTTGAACCCTGGAGGCAGAGGTTGCAGTGAGCCAAGATCATGCCATTGCACTCCAGCCTGGGCAACAAGAGCAAAACTCCATCTCAAAAAACTAAAATAAAATAAAACAAAAAGGTAATAAATTTGAGAATTCTGGGTGGAATACTTTCCTCTGAATGTAGTCATTTAAAATCCTAATTTACAGGAGCAGGAAAGTAAAATAAACATAACTTTAGAACATACCTAATGGGTTCCAGTACAACAGAAAGTGCTAGGTCTGTTTAGTTCTGGATGCATAGCCTGCCAGCACAGCAGCTACTCTCTCACTCACAGTTGTACCTCCTCGGAGCCCAGAGTTCTGACCCGGAAAGGCCAGAAAGGAACTGGTGGTGGTTATAAGACAAGGAACTAAGATTTCTCTTTACCTTTGCAGTGCTGGATATTCCTTTGCATTTGTCAAGTTAAAATTCTTGAAAGAAAAACCCTTGTATAATTTTCAGGTTAGCAGATTTAAAACAAAATAATCCTTTTGACCTTTGATTTTTGAAGTCATGGTTATAGATTATACTGCTCCAAATATATGAATAAGCTAAATTTATAGTCATATTATCATATGCACAAAACATTGATCCAGGTGAAATTCTGTAAAAACCACATTTAAAGAAACCTGTAAAACGCCATCATATTCAGCTAAACCTCTGGGTTTGGTGACAGGAATTGTTCCTCAAACATTTGCAAATTGACATTATTCTGACCTCTCATTGAGAGCAAAAATTGGTAGGCAACCAAGGTAAGTATCTAGAACTGACTTTGCTATTCTGTCAAGTAGACAGCATGCCAATAGGCAACGTATAATATGCCAGGCTGTGTCCCTGCAGAGTGTTCTGAGTTAGACCAGATGCCCATGTGATGGCTCACTCCTGGGTCAGAAGGAAACAGTAGGCCAATGACATTCAAGCTACAATGAATAGATTTCTTCTTCAGTCAGAATGTGTACCAGATAAAGAGACAGAGACGAGCTCAGCCATAATTCCATCTGGTCTGTAGAAAAACTGAGGAAGGAGGTAATTGAAATAAATTATTGTATCTTCAGACCAAAGAAAATAAACTTTTTCTCAGAAGAACAGTCCTATGACCGATATGAAGTTTGCAAACTAAAACAGCCCCAGCCATTATGAAGTGACTACCAGAGGATGAAAAACTGGAGTGGAAGTTCATAGACATGATTTCTTTGTCTATTCTGACCATTGTACAATTTTTATAAATTCACTACCACGTCACTTTACACTGAGTGTAAACTCTGTTCCAGGATAGAGTCATCAGTTAGAAAAGTCAGTGCTGGGGGAAATAAACTGAAAGAAAAATTAACTCTTTCAGGTCACTATATCTGGAATTAGGGTGAATATGCACACATAGTGGCAGAAATAACTGAAGGTTTGGTGACTACACATTGCTTTAAAATAAGTGAAAGTGAACGCAAACTTAACTCATCTCTGCTACTCTTTTGTAATTTGTACATGTTGTGCCAACTGGGCCCACTGATACACTATTGGACAAATCTACTAGAGCACTCAAAGTGACTCATTAGCAATCACAACACCACGACCACAAAAGCACAGAATCTACCTTAAGATTTGCCGGGCATGGTGGCTCACACCTGTAATCCCAGCACTTTGGGAGGCCAAGGCAGGTAGATCACAAGGTCAAGAGATTGAGACCATCCTGGCCAACATGGTGAAACCCCATCTCTACTAAAAATACAAAAATTAGCAGGGCGTAGTGGCACGTGCCTGTAATCTCAGCTACTCAGGAGGCTAAGGCAGGAGAATCGCTTTAACCCAGGAGGCGGAGGTTGCAGTGAGCCAGGATTACGCCACTGCACTCCAGCCTGGCAACAGAGTGAGACTCCATTTCAAAAAAAAAAAAAAATTTTTGGTTTCTTTTTATGGAGACTCTGAAGGGAGTGCTAACCAAATTCAGTATCAAGTTCAGAAATTTCCAAAGAGAAATTCTTCCCTACTGCCAAATAGTTACTTCAGAATCCTCACTGCATAAGTGATTCATGAAATGAGCTCACTGGGGGTAAAATCTACCAGCAGATTAGAGTCTGGGGTTAAATGCTGATGTTTAATAAGCAACAAGAGAAAAATCAGTGAAATAATAGAAACAAAAGATCTTAACAGGCTTTGCCAATAGTGAAGCAAATAAATAAATACAAATATATTAATGGCATGTGCAACATAGTGAGACCCCATCGCTTCCAAAAAACAAAAAAAACAACACTAAAAACTAGTCAGACACGGTGGCACACATCTATGGTCCAAGCTACTCAGGAGGCTGAGGTGTGAGGAATGCTTGAGCCCAGGAGGTCAAGGCTGCAGTGAGCCATATTCACGCCACTATACTCCAGCCTGGGTGACAGGCCAAAACTTTGTCTCAAAAAAAAAAAGAATAGTAGTAACTCACTGATATGCCCATTTGTTACCTGCTTCTATGTAAGAAATTACTCTTTCTCCAAAAGCAGTTAATACATATGACTAGGTGAATTAGTGATAGCTTAAATGCCTGAATATCCCATATCAAAGGGAATATAAACACTGGAACTTCTGTCTACTCATAGCATTGAAAAAAAGTTTTTGGAGTCAGATGGATACAACTTAAAATAACACTAGCAATGTGACTGTGTATATTACCTAACCTCCCTGAGCTTATTTCCTCATATGCTAGATTTTAACAAATATTTAATGCATCTCTTGCAGGTAATGAAATCATATATATATTCAATATTATAGTATTCAATATCTTGAATAATCTTGAATATTCAAGATTCAATAATATGAGATATATGTGTATATATATGTATGACATGCATATATCTATATAGCAGGGTGGTTAGTGAGTACAAATTCCCTTACTCTTCCTCTGTAATTCCCATCTACTTCTAATGTAGGCACATGGTACTAATTGTACCCCAGGACTCTCCTGCCATCTGTAGTAACCAGGTAGGAAAAAAAGAAAGCCCAACATGGGAATTTAACAGGTTGATCTGGCAATGACGACTTTCAGAACTGAGTGACTTTTGTTCCCATCTTGCCACACTATAACAGTGTGACTCACTCTCTCCCTATAATTGCAAACATTTCTGGAGCTGTAGATCTTGGGGCTCTTCACTGGATTTCCAAAAGTGCCTGGCAGAAATTTGCCTTTATTAAAAATCAAGCATTTTCCTGGCAAAATCTCCCCAAAGCAAGCAATTTCTGAAATAATTTTCACCCTAGATTAAATGTTTGTGTACGAAAGTACGTATTAACATACAGGTCAGTGTAAGACAGAAATAGTTTATGTATCAAATTGCCCCAAGCTTTAAGTCAGGAGAGGGAGGGTAACAGTGTCTTTCCTCTGAGCTTCCAGCTCACAGCTGGTGGCAAAGCTGAGCCTGGCCTGACTTGTTCACGCCTCTTTACCACCTGTAGCCCACCCCAATCCCAAAGGGCTTCACAGGAATTTGTTAAACAAATGTCTACAGCAACCTTATTTAAAGCTAAACCCTTTTAATGCTATGATCTAAAAAATTTCAGAATCTCTTTGATTTTTTCCCCCGTTTTTCTTAATCTGCAATCTGCCTCCTGTGGTTACTCAGCATTGACTAACACCAGGCACTTCTGATAAATGAATAAATCTATCAGAAATGTCAATGAGAAAAATCTACTCTTAATTAGGAATGGGAACTTTTGTGCCTGTGCATTAAATTCCTCAAGATTACCATGAACTTCAAATGCAACAATATGGACATTACTAAAAATACAGCAATATGTCAATGAAAATATATTGCAAAAAATAGGGGAGAGACAAATATTGTTCACACATTGTATAGTAGCTCTAAAAGCCCTTTCTACAAAGTAGATATTTGGAAAGGTAACAATTCATCACTATTAATGGGACAAAATTTTGGCTTTTGAAATCCAAGTTTTAAGTATCACAAAGCATATCTCTGTTATTTCAAGCATACATGCGGAGACAAACACACCACACAAACACACACATAATCATGTACTTTCTAATAATTTTGTACATTCTTCATAATAATAAACAAGCTGGCCTTATATCTACCTAAAACTCAAAACTAGTGCATATACTAACACCTGACTCTACACTTTACTGTAGGGTAAGCCATCCACTTTCCAAGCCAGCCTTTTGAAGCTATAGCAAATCAAATTTTAGATCCAGAAAATGAATGTATGCTTTGGAAGTACTGTCATTTAACTTAAAGACATGAAGGACTTGAAAAGGCTACTTTACGTCTCATCAAAACCATAGAAACTGTCAACAGAAAATCAGAAGATTACAGGCTGCATTTAAGCTAAATTCAGGGAAAACCTCTTACAATGAATTCAGAGTATGCCAAGAAAGGTGCCTATAGGGAGAATTCTTTTTCCCTTCTCTTCTTCCTAATCCCAGCTTGTCTTGGTCTTCACCATCCCCCCACACCCCTAATCCACTCATTCTAATACCTCCCTGGCCCAACCAGACAAATTGGTACTTAATCTCTCTGCCTTACCATCATCCACTCCCTCTGACAGCTCCCTACAGAAGAGTTGCCACATCATACAGCCAAAGCAAACTTTAGCTTCAGTATGATGTCTAAATATTACAGCTTTATCACCTGTGACATGCATTTCCAGAGGATCTTATCACATAGGTTCAGTGAAAGTACCAGAAATATTAATTTCCACTGTAGACAGTCCAGAGTATAAACAGAGACAGCATACAGTGGTGACTATGACAGCCCCTAGAGGCCTCAGAGCTTTTTAAGAAACATCACTCCTATAGGATTTCAAAAGAAAAATTTCCCTGTAGATGATACAGCAGAGGCCATTTCTCCTTGAGTCTCATAACGTTACTCCCTAAAACATAATCCCTATTCCAAGGCCTGTTCTGTTTCTCTACAAATCTGTCCTTAGCATTAAATGTTAAGACTAATCCTCACTTCTCAAACAATTTTATGGACAAGTCTTCATGCCTCTGAAAATGGAAAATAAAACAATTCTTTAGTGCTGTTTTTCTAGAGAGGAAATAGTAGATGATGATCAAAGTGTGGATACTATATATACTCAATTTACCAGATAACTCTTGCCACTGTTAATGACTCAGTAAAGCCAACCACAGGTTATTGGGGGATATGCGACAAATGCATGAGTTTGTAGAAGACTCCCTTACCACTATCTCACCTCATTTTGAGAAATAGCCTCATTTTTGAGAATAATCAGGTTCCCAGCACTCTGACCACTTTGGCCTGTGAGGTTCCTGCTGTCAGTCACTGCTGCTTGGGCTCCCGAAGGCCCTGGTCCTGTCTGGGCCCCTGTATTGTAAAACATGAAAGTGTCACTCCCTGAGCCTGCTGTCAGACAGGCCTTGTAGCAGTAGGTCTTGGTGAGGGAGCCATTCCCTCGAACTTCAATGAAGTGAGGCTGCACTTTCAGGCCATGTGGTAACCTGGCATCAATATTGTTGTTGGCCTGTTTGTAAAGTTCTGCAGGGCACCTCTCCCTTACTCCACAGAAGCCTCCACAGCATGCAGTGCCATACGCAGTGTAGCGGTAGCACTTGATGATGCTCAAAATGATGATTGTCAAAAGAAATATAAAAGACACTGTGCTTAATGCTATTATTAGATAAAGGGTAATTTCAGAATATGTCCGAGGGCTCTTAACATGTCTCTGAGTGTCAGGAAGGATTTTGGAAACCCTATCCACCACAGCTACTGTAATGGCCACAGAGGCTGATAGTGATGGCTCTCCATTATCTCGGACCACCACGGTCAGGTTGAAAGTGCTACCACTCTCATCTCCCATCTTCCTGGTAGTCCTAATTTCTCCTGTGTGGAGTTCTACTTTAAAGAGGTCCAGGTCAGAAGTCTGGGCTAGATGGTAAAAAAGCCAAGCATTTTGCCCAGAGTCTGAGTCCATGGCTATGACTTTGGTGACCAGGTAGCCAGCAGGGGCAGTTCGAGGCACCATCTCAAAGGCTGCTGATGAGTTCGTTGAGGTAGGGTACAGAATGTGAGGGGCATGGTCATTCATGTCCACCACATACACGTTGGCAGTCACAGTGCTGCTCAGTGGTGGACTCCCCTTGTCCTGAGCCTCCACAGTCACAAAGAACTCCCGAAACTTCTCATAGTCAAAGGAGTTGACAGCATAAAGGCTGCCACTGGCACTGTTAATGGAGACATAGGAGGTGACTGGCAGCCCTTGAATCTCCCTCTCCAGAAGGGAGTAGGTCACCTCTGCATTCTCCTTTTCATCTGGGTCTGTGGCTTGCACAGTACAGAGCAACACACCTGGCAAATTGTTCTCCTGTATGTAGATGGAATAGGAGTCCTCCAGGAAGCTTGGTGGATTGTCATTGATGTCAGAGATCTCAACCTTCAGTGTCCGCTGGGATGTGAGCTGTGGTATTCCCCCATCAGTGGCTGTCACCGTGATGTTGTAGACAGCCACTCGCTCTCGGTCCAGCGGGCCACTCACCACCAGTGTATAGGAGTTTCCAAAGCCATTCAGTCGGAAAGGGAGTGTGGCCTCCAGACCCAGGCTCACTTTCCGGTTGAGGCCTGAGTCTTGGTCATTGACACTGAGAACGGCTACAATGGTGTTAGGTGTAGCATTCTCAGGCACTGGGCTATACAGGTCCGTGAGCACCACCTCTGGGGCATTGTCATTCACGTCCACGATGTCCACCAGCACCTTGCAGTGACCTGCCATGGGCACTGGACCCCGGTCAGTCGCCTGCACATAGATCTGGTAGGAGGAGGCTTCCTCATAATCCAGCCCCCCAATTACTCGCACTTCCCCAGTACTGGCATCTATGCTGAAGAGCTGCCTCTCCCGGTCCGAAGTGTAGCTGCTCAAGGAGTACCTGAGCTCACCATTGGAGCCCTCATCCGGGTCTGAGGCATTCAGCTTCACCACCAGTGTGCCTGGGGGCGAGTCCTCCCGTAGCTGGACGCGATAAGTGGACTGGTCAAAGGCAGGAGAGTTGTCGTTAGTGTCCAGGACACGCACAGAGATCTGTGCCGTACCCGAGCGGGCTGGGATGCCCCCATCCACGGCTGTGAGAACCAGGTGGTGCAAGGCTGCCTGTTCCCGGTCTAGGCCCTTACGCAGCACCAGCTCAAGCACTTTACTGTTCTCCTGCAGGGGCTTAAGGTCCAGCTCGAAGTGCTCGCTGGGGCTGAGCTCGTAGGTCTGTACTGAGTTGGCGCCCACGTCTGGGTCCTGCGCACTCTCTATGTGAAAGCGCGCTCCAGGAGCCACCGATTCGCTTACCTGAAGCTGGTAATTGGGCCGCGGGAAACGCGGTGAGTTGTCGTTGATGTCCAATATTTCCACCTCAACAGCGCTCACCGCCACGGGGTTGTGCGCCAGCACTTCCAAGCTGAGCAGGCAGCGAGGCCGCTGCTCACAGAGCGCCTCCCGATCAATGCGCTCGTTGACGAAAAGCGCTCCACTAGTCAGGTCCAGTTCCAGGTAGCGCGGACTGGGCGAACCCAGATGGTTGATGCGCAAGCAACCCGGCCCCAAGCGCCGCAGCTCGAGCCCCAGCGCGCGAGCCACGTTGCCCACGAGCGCGCCGGGTGTCTGCTCCTCTGCCACGGAGTATCGCAGCTGGGAGGCCGCTGGGCCCGGTAGCAGCAGCAGCAACAGCAGCCGGAGAGGCAGTAGCAGCAGCCAGGGCATGGGCCGCCGGAGCCGTGAATGCTCTGTCGCCGCAGGTCTGGTGCCCGCCTGCTCCATAGCCACTGGCCGCGGCGGAGGCAGCCGGGCAGGGCCGGAGGCGGCAGCTTCCCCAGCCGTGCTCCACGCCCGGGCCCCGCCTCCGCTCGTGCCACCCTGAGCCCGCTCCCCCACCGCTCACGCGCTAGCAAACGCCTGGGGCCGCTCCCTCCGTAGGCCCTCCCAAGGGCTCCTGGCCCCACCGCCCTCGCTGATTCCCCATATTCCAGCTCCTCCGCTCGCCTCCGAGTCCCTCAACCCGGCTCGGCTTCCTGCTGCTGCTGCCGCTACCGCTCCAGGGGGAGGGAAAAGGAAGCAGAAGGGGAGACGGAGGGGGAGAGGGAAGGGGAGGAGGGCTCAGCAAGTCCTGCTCTGATTCCGCGCCCAAGTGGCGGACAGCGAACCCGGACTGCTCAGCCTCTCCAGTCCCATCTCCTTCACCCTGGACCTGCCGGATCTCAGCGGACCGCAGGAACACGGCCACTCCCTTTCTCCCTACCCCCACTGTCCAGTTCATCCAGTCTGCACCGTCTCTCCCCTGCTTAACGGGTCTTTAAGGAGATTAGTCTGGGAAAAGCGGTCAAGCCCCTAGAAGTCTGGCTATCAGCTCCCCAGGAAAAGATTTCCAAGCGCAATTCAGGAAAATAAACTAAAGGGCCTTAGCTAAGTGTGGGCACCCAGGTGGCGGATCTAACATTAAAAGGAAACAACGCAGGGGGAGGCGCTCTGGGGTTACTGGCGATGGGAACTATTCACCTGACTCCCACAACTTCCCTGGACACTCTTAAGTACTGCAGAAAGTGCTCAACCCCTAGGGCAAAAGTAGGGGGATGGTAAATGCTGCCCTCTTTCCGGGAGAAAGCCTAAAACCAGCATCCTGGGATCCAAGACTCAATTCTGCTGTCGGCCAAGTGGCCCTTACTTTCAGTGTGTGCCTTGGCAAATAACCAATATTTTAAAAAATAGTCTCCATGAAGCTGTAGGCAAATCTGTTATTTGACCCATTTTGGCGATAGTGGGGAAAATCTGATAAAATTTTTAAAGAGATTCTTCTCTCAAGCTTTTTCTAATCTTGCTTCAAATCTTATTTATCATCCAAGACATTTTCTTTCAAGAGTGATTTAAAATTTTTTCTTTAATGGATGACAATGCCTTCAAGAGTCTGCAAAACCATTAAATCAAGAGAGTTACTGTTGATCTCCTAAGCCAGGCTGGAATTTGGATTCCATTAATGCTTTGCAGTTAAAACAAAACAAAACAAAACAAAAATCTGCTGTCATTAAGCAAAATGTGGGAATCTGGGATTTATCTTACAATAACCAGCAATTTCAATGACTGCAGCTTATCTTCCTTAAATATAAGACTCCTTAGACTTCTTCTGTGTCCTTAGGATTCCTTTTGTACTGCTATAGAGGCAACGCAGAGACAACAAATTCACTTCAGTAAAAGAGAAGGCAGAAGGATCACAGGAAATCTTTCCATGCTGTGTCATTGCCTCTGCTGCTCGGTTCTGAATATTCCCTCTTCCCAGGTTCTCACGTTTCTTCCACAGAAATTTGAAATCTATTGCCTCATGTGCAATAAAAAGCACTCACTAAAACGTCCTTTCTCTTCAGCTCACAGTATTTCTCTCATCCATAGATCTTCCTCTATGGGTCATTTTCTAGCTATGGACTGGAACAGTCAGTGTGAGACCTGACATTTGGCATGCTTCCCTCCTAGAGGGGACGATTAAAGGAGCCAAGGTTGTGATCCTGACACCAGGAGTTCAAAGGCCTGAACTAGCACATCCCTTCGTTCCACCGACCAAGCACACTCACTGTCAATGCTCCACTACCTAGCCAGTTTTATTCCAGAGAAACGCCCAGCTTCCTCCTATCACTGCTGCTTCTTATTTGTCCTCTTTGTTTCCTCAAGGGTACAGAGTAGGAAGCAATTTTCATCAAAATCTATTCCTGTCTCCTTTCTTGGGTCTCTGGCTTCTTCCTCTTCTTTCTGCCTCCTCCCCAAACATCCCTACAATAATTCTGTCTCAGTTTGCTGTGGTAATTTGATCTCAGAGGCCTTAATCTCTCAAGTGCACAAATTGTGGACCTGGCCTATGTCCTCACCCATTACTTACTTCTGAAAATAAATGGCTTATAAGTGGAATCAAGTTGTAAGTTGTCAGGAAAAGTGATCTTTCCTCCCCTCATCTCCTCCCAGCCCTCCGAGTCGCTGCCATCTCTGCCCACAGCTCAGAGACCTGGCCACTGGGTATTGACCAGGCATAGACCTGTGACTGTGGAAAGATCATAGGCACTTAAGGAAGAGATTACAGTGGCAGAGGCTTGGTAATTTTTTAATGGAAGCCCCCAAATGTCATGTCTCAGGAGAAAAACCAGGACTCTCCTTTCAGCACTCTTGTCATCTTCCAGCAAGGACACCTGCCAGGTTGTCCATTTTGCTGTTTTAGGCCCTATGGGTATTTAGCTCCAACTAGAATTTACTGCCTTAATTATCGAGGAGGCAAACATAAAGCCAACACAATCAGCCTTCTTTTGAAAGACATTGTACTAAAGAGATGGTATACTCTATTTGGCACTATAATGATTTCGTTCCTCACACCATTATACTGAGGCTTCTGCCAACCTTACTAGTTGTTAGAATGTGATTGCTCAGACTGTGGTTAATTACCCTTTCTACAAATATTAACGCTAATGCCTTGACCACACCATTATGCATTCCTCTCCTTAGACCTTCAAGAACTCCCTATTAAAAAGTAGAACACAATAATTAGGAACATAGACTTTGGAGTCAGTCACACTCCTGCCAGTGACTAAATGTGTGGCTATGGACATGTTACTTAACCTAAGCTTCACTTTACTCAATTTAATTAAGGAAAACAATAGTAAGCAAAACTCATAGGGTTATTTTTATGATTACATGAGAAAATGTATGTAAAGCAATTTGCACAGTAGTTAAGTACATTATTGTTGTTGCCGTTGTCATGAAATGCAACAATTCATTACCATCAGATAAAACCTTAGTTGGCAGTCTGTATGTAGCATGGCCCTTTGGATATCAAACAGATAAGCACATTTAACTACGCCATATAGGAAATCAACCATGATGACCATGATGGGGAAGATGCGTATTCAACAAAGTTAAACTTTCCCAATTACTTCTAGAATTTTATCATACATTTTGAGAACAAAACCAAAAAACAGCCCCTTTTTATATCACTAAGTAAATGGGACTTCTGTTATGAGAACTCCTTCAAGAGATTTGTTTCCTCACAAGAGATTTACCTTTTTAGAAAACATAGAAATACTTTGTATGTATGCAACAGAGTATGAAGTTAGTTCCTAAACATGCTGTAATCTACAGCACCCAGTATGGAGCTTGGCACAGAGGTGCTCAATTAATGTTCTTTGAAAAGAACTAAATTTACAAATTTATCTGTGTGATTCTAATACAAACAGCTTCTTATTTTCTCTCCTGCTTTTAAAATCTTACATACATTTCAAGATCCCGATGAAAACCTACCTAATCCATGAAACAGTGTCTACTCTAAACACAAGTTTTTTTTTTCATTTTCACAGTCTACAGCATATCTCTGTAAGATGGCATGTGTCATTTTTAAATTCATCCAAATAATTTAATATTATCTCTCTAATTATAAGCAACCTAAAAGCAGGAGCCATGTCTTACATTTCTGTCTCCTTTGCAATGTAGAAACCCTTATAGATTCTCAATAAATGTTAATTGCTTCATTTTCTTCAGATCTTATTTTTAGTAAACTCAAGAAAAGCTGCTACAGAAAAATTTCCTATATAGGGATAGAGCATATCTTATGGAGAGGAGGTTGAGAATCTGAAATGATTTCACTATGGATTTCTTCCTTTAAAATTGTCAAATGAAGATATGAAACAAAGTATTTCAAACCTGGAGAACTGAATCCCACTGATAAAGTTTCTGGACCCTAAGAAAGGCTCTGTCAAAAAGTAATACTTTTTCTACTTTACATTAAAATTATAAATTATAAAATAAAAGTGTTCCTTCTAATAACTAACAAGAAAAGTGACATGATTAGATAGGACATTGTGTTCATTTATCCCCATGCTAGACAAGAACTTTGAAATCATATTCCTCAGTTGTCTCTTTTAATTATGTTTGTTAAATACATCTATCATGAGATCACAGGGCACAGGAGCAAAACCAGTTATAACACAACAGAATTAAACCTACAGGAAAAATGCTGGCACTCAGTAAACTCTCCTAATTCACATAAATTATTCTTTATTATTAACACCATTACAGATCATTTTACTTTTGGAAACCAAATGATCTGGAGTCTTTTGGCCACAGGACAAAAAACACGTTCATTAGTTTGATCAAGTTTGGGGCTGATCATTATAAGAGTATCTGTCAAATTGGGAAGGATCTAGTTTTCATTTTTTAATGTATGTATTTACGTTGCTCTACAAACTGAGCACAAGTAACATAATAAAAGAGAGATAAATGGTCATCTCTAATGTTTAGAGTTGTCCAAAGTAGTTTTAAAAATTCCATCTTGTTAAAAACGAATAGGATTCCTAATCTTCATGCATCCCCAGAAGGCAAATACTTTCCAATATGAGTATAGCGATATTTACAGATAAAACATCCAGTGGATGGGAAGATGAAAAAGTTTTCACATAACTTGATGGCTAATTTTTTTCACATCTCCCTTCCTCCAGGAGAAATACATCAGTCAAATATTTGGCATTAACAACTGGCTTTTAGGGGGAGATCCTCTACGTTTTTAGTTCTAAAAAACTAATATATTATTGATAGTTGACTGAGGTGTCTGAAAATTGCTTAGAATAGACAAAGAGATTCAAGCCATAAGAGATTCAAGCCATCTTTGGATAAGTAACAATAAAAAGGGAGAGGCAGGTTTGGGGCAGATTGTGTAACATTAACAGATAAAATCAAACTAGCCAGTATTGGGGGGAGCCTTACTTCTTTATCAGTGTTCTCAATTGAGATGGCCTAACAAGAATCATAGAATATTAAAGGTTGAGGGTTTTTTTAATTATAAAATTCTTTGTCATTGAAGAAAATAAGGTTAAGTAAAACTTGAACCTCAAGATCAATAAGGAGATAGGAAGCATAAACGTGATATAAGTGGCCGGGCGCGGTGGCTCACGCCTGTAATCCCTTTGGGAGGCCGAGGCCGAAGTCAGGAGATTGAGACCATCCTGGCTAATACGATGAAACCCCGTCTCTACCAAAAAATACCAAAAAATTAGCCGGGTGTGGTGGTGGGTGCCTGTAGTCCCAGCTACTCAGGAGGCTGAGAACGGCGTGAACCCAAGAGGCAGAGCTTGCAGTGAGCTGATATCATGCCACTGCACTCCAGCTTGGGCAACAGAGTGAGACTCCATCTCAGGGGAAAAAAATAAAAAAAAAGATATAAGTCAGTCAGGTATCTGTGGCCAGATAAATGATCTTCCAAGGCATTGAAAGAACTTACAGATGTGACTAGAGAACCCAATTTCCTATCTTTTAAAAAGTTCCATTAAGCTTGATATAAATTCCTTTGAAACTCTAATATTACTAAAGTGATTGTTTATGAGCACTTAGAAATGAAGGCATTCATACTAAGGACTACTTTGGCTTAATTAAAAACTGGTAACTTCAAACTAATCATATAGACTTAAGACTGTTTTTCATATGGACATTTTAGATTTTCATTTACTAGAATCATTGCCAAAATAAATGCTTATCAAAACAAAATTTAAAAAAAGGAATGCTGCAGGAACAGTCAATCTAGAATTCGTGGAGACAATAAACAAAGTCTCCCAATATACTCTTGTGGAGAAGATAAAGAAAGAAAGGCAGCTGCAAGACAGTGTAGTTAGGTGATTTTGTAATTGTTTAAATAACATGCCAAAAAGTGTTTATTAATGGAATACTTCAACCTAGAAGGAGAATTCTAATGGGGGCTACAGGGATCCACTCTTGGTCTCTCAAGAAACAGAGCCTGGTAAATCTTGTTCTTGAACCTCAAGAAACAGAGCCATGGTAAAAAGAAGCTTCCTGGAGCTTCTGATAAATTCCATCACCATTTTAGGGCCCAGTTTCTTCATCAATACCAACCTCATTAGGGTCCTGAGAGGAGTACATGAGGTTAGATATGTACTGAAATAATATGCCAACTCTTAAGTGCCAAGGCATTAGGATGCAAGGGGGTTGGGTGACCAAAAAGTCAACAATTACTTGATACTCTAGATACCCCATTCAACATTTTATTAATGACTCAAAACAAGGAGGTAGCAAGTGTCCATGCCAGTCCAGCAGCAAGTTGAGCATTTTTGGAACAAGAATTGCAACTGCCTAGGTTAAGCTATGTTTCTAATTCACTGAACTTAGTACCAATTTTCTACCTGAAACTCAAGATATGCCCCAAATTCATTCGTGTATATTTCAGCTAATTTCTGGCTTATAGTTGCCATTACCTGTTCCAAGTTTCCATTCATCACTTGGGACCTCTTATTTTAATAGAAAACCTTGTTTGGCCCTATTTCTTCTCTGTAACTCTTGGGATTTTAGCCACAGACTAAAATAAGATGATGAGTATTTGGCACTAAAGAACATCCTCATTCCCAAGTAGGTTTTAGCCAAAGCATTCATTGATTTGGATAGGGGTTTTAAAAATATATTTCAAAAACACATTAGATATTGTTGAAGTACCTTGAATTTGAACTGTTTTCCAACTGTTTTCCTAAGCTTAGTCTATGTGAAGGCTACAGTTTCTCTTTCCTATACCCATTATGTTTGCTGCTTGGAACAAACAAACCTACACCTCTGTGTAAGAAAGATTACTTCTCAAAATTATCCATACATATATATAGAGTATCAAGTAATTTTTGACTTTTTGGTCACCGCCCCCCCCCCCGCCCCGGTGCATCCTAATGTCTTGGCACTTAAGAATTAGCATATTATTTCAGTACATATCTAACCTCATGTACTCCTCACAGGACCCTAATGAGGTTGGTATTGATGAAGAAACTGGGCCCCAGAAAGGTGACAGAGTTTATCAGAAGCTCCAGGAAGCTTCTTTTTACTATGGCTGTGTTTCTTGAGATTCTGAAATAACATCTGACCGCTACACATGCAACACCTAAGAACTGTATTATCAGTCTCAAGCTATTAATGTCTAAGTATTTCATAATGAATACTATTGTTCCCACAACTACAAGTTTCTTTCTCTTTTAGAAACTTCAACTGAATCTTCTGCACATGTTTTTAATAATAAACAGCCATACTTAACAAAATCGTGATGCAAAATAGGTTTGTACTTCATATCCGAACTTCTTTCAGTACCATCTTCCTCCTACCTATGATATTCTGCCTAAGTAATGCGGCTTTACAAATGGCTTTGATTTTTCTGATATAAATCCTACTCGTGTATTCCTTGATAGATTTTGCTACAAAATTCCTTTAGCAGTTACAGGCATAACACATTATAATGTGGGTAAAATATAAATCCTCTAAATTAGCCATGTTAATATACACTGTTCTTACTGAACATTAAAATATACTTTAAGGCATTTTGATGAGATAATGTTACCTAAAAATTTTCCCTTTCAGAGCTCATTTTATTGAAATTATTTGGAAATGATTTACAAATTCTTCAATTTTGCTTCTGTGTTTTTTCTCTCTTTTTTCTATCACAAGCAAAAAAAGCATATTATACTTGGCTGATAGAATTGAAACAAAAAATCTGGTACTGATTCTATTTATACAGCATCTCTGAATTAATGGTCTTAAAGATCTTAAAATTTTTTAGTTTGATTCATATATAACAATAAGCCTTGATTGATGCCAACTTCAACGTTTCAGCACAAAATAGAAAAAAATACACAAATTCTCAGATCAATCAACACTTTATCTTAATTTGTGACTTTTTTTTTGAGACAGGGTCTCACTCGGTTGTCCCGTTGGAGTGCAGTAGCATAATCACAACTTATAGCAGCCTCAACCGCTGGGCTCAGTGATGCTCCCACCTCAGCCTCCTGGGTAGCTGGGACTACAGTCATGCACTACCATGCCCAGATAATTTTTGTATTTTTTGTAAAGACAGCATTTCACCATGTTGCCCAGGCTGGTCCTGAATTCCTGGGGTCAAGCAATCTGTCCACTTTGGCCTCCCAAAGTGGGCTCAGCTCGCCCATCTTTAGACCCCTGCTGAATGTCCAAAACCAAGGATAATATTGAATTCCATATATACTACATTTTTTCCCATACATACATACCCATGATAAAGCTTAATTTATAAATTAGGTACAGTAAAATATTAACAACAATAACTAATAATAAAATAGACCAATTATAATAATATACTATAATATTATTATAGGTGTGAGCCACCACACCCAGGCTGACTTTTCTATATCTATTATACATCTATTGGTCAATTCTTTTATAAACCCATTAAATCATTCCAGTGACTGATAACTTTAAGATATAAAAATTAAAACAGAATGGTTTGGTAATTTACTAGAAATAGAAAGTTGATTTCAAACAGAAATGAATAAAAATCTCACTTTCTCTCTTTCCAATTCAGTGTTACATCTATTATAACAGAGTTGTCACTCTAGGATATTCGATATCCTTTATAATTAAAATTTCATCATAGATTTCTGTGATTGGTTTTCTGCACTACTCTGAAGCTGGACTAGTATTCCTTTGATCCAATTATCATAAGCTCATTTAAAATCTCAACTGTGTATGAAATATTTATTGGTTCATAAATCAATGTACACATAGGATATATTGGACAGCGATGCCTCCTAGGATATGTGGATTTAGTGCTCTTTAAGCCAGCAGGAGTTGAAGAATAAAAAAGATTTTCAAATTATAAAAAGTCATTCTTTCCAAGGGTCAGTGATAATGTTTGATGATCTGTTAAGAAAATAGCAACAATCGGCCGGGCGCGGTGGCTCACACCTGTAATCCCAGCACTTTGGGAGGCTAAGGCGGGCGGATCACGAGGTCAGAAGATCAAGACCATCCTGGCTAACACGGTGAAACCCCGTCTCTACTAAAAATACAAAAAAAAAAAAAAAAAAAAAAATTAGCTGGGCGTGGCCGCGCGCGCCTGTAGTCCCAGCTGCTGGGGAGGCTGAGGCAGCAGAATGGCGTGAACCCGGGAGGCGGAGCTTGCAGTGAGCTGAGATTGCGCCACTGTACTCAGCCTGGGTGACATAGCAAGACTCCGTCTCAAAAAAAAAGAAAAGAAAAAAGAAAATAGCAACAATCCTGATAAAGTCAGACTGTGAACTTCCTGTGATTTATTTATTTTTTGATCTCTAGTTTATTTTAATTAGGTTCAATAATATTTAAAATATATACTTCTTGTACCAAATTAAATTTGTTCAGAATTTTTAAAAGCAATGAAAGTGAAAGTCCTTTAAAATCTAATTCCCTTGTAGATGAGACCAGTAACAGATAATTGTATATCACTCCAGGCTTTTGACTATGCTATATAAATACACACACTGATACATTTTACCAAAATGGAACCACACTCTACACACTATTGTACAACTTTACTTTTTGCTTCTGTTTTTTTTTTTTTTTTTTTTTTTTTTCTCTCTCTCTCTTTTTTCTAACACAAGCAAAGAAAGCATAGTATACTTGGCTGATAGAATTGAAACAAAAAATCTGGCACTGATTCTATTTATACAGCATCTCCCAATTAATAGTCTTAAAGATCTTAAAATTATTTAGCTTGATACATAGATAACAATATGTCTTGGTTGATGCCAACTTCAGCTTTTCAGCACAAAACAGGAAAAAAAAAATACACAAACTCTCAAATCAATTAACATTCTCTTAATTTGTGACTTTTTTTACTTAACATATATGATGAACTTAGTTTTTACTTAACATATATAATGAACATCCTTTCATGTCAGTATATATAATTCTGATCTTTCTTAATAAAAACTACACAATGTTCATTGTCTATATATTTCATAACTTTTACTCCATGATTGAATATTTAAGTGCATTTCTGAAAGTGTGTGCATGTATATGTCTGTGTGTTTATTCTGGAAAGTGCCTTGTTAAAAGTACAGGAGTCCCTCCTTTTCCACAGGGGATACTTTCTAAGATCCCCACTGAATGTCTGAAA